ACCTGAACCCAATAGAAAATCTTTGGAGGGAGCTGAAAGTCCGTATTGCCCAGCGACAGCCCCGAAACCTGAAGGATCTGGAGAAGGTCTGTATGGAGAAGTGGGCCAATATCCCTGCTGCAGTGTGTGCAAACCTGGTCAAGACCTACAGGAAACGTATGATCTCTGTAATTGCAAACAAAGGTTTCTGTACCAAATATTAAGTTCTGCTTTTCTGATGTATCAAATACTTATGTCATGCAATAAAATGCAAATTAATTACTTAAAAATCATACAATGTGATTTGCTGGATTTTTCTTTTAGATTCCGTCTCTCACAGTTGAAGTGTACCTATGATAAAAAATTACAGACCTCTACATGCTTTGTAAGTAGGAAAACCTGCAAAATCGGCAGTGTATCAAATACTTGTTCTCCCCACTGTACATACATACACATACATACATATATACATACATATATACACATACATATACATTCCTTTTTTTTTTATATATTTCCCTTTATTACTTTCCAACCCCACCACCCCTTCCCTCATTGGAGTAAACTAGTGAACAACAAAGCTTAGGCCTCTACTTCCAGCTTATACATACTATATACATTTTATGGACACAGTCAATTTTACAATAATTATATTTTGTTTGTTTTTCCTCCTGAACTTCCTCTACCCTCAACCTCTCAGATTATTTTCATGATGTCCATCCGGTTTGCTTCTATATGCCATATCTTTCAAATTTTCTTAATCCGTTTCATTCTTGTAAGCATTTTCCAATTCTGGAGTCGGAGACCTTTTGGGAATCTGTGGTAGAGAAGAAGAATGTATGACTATTTAGCATAGACACTCATTATATTACCGCTAGTTATCATCATCATGAGTTCTATAGTTTAGGGATTTAGCTAGCTAGGCCTATCTAGCTACCTAGCTAGTTGTTGTGTTGTCCAGCTAGCAATAATAGTGCTTGTGTTAACACAAGTAGCTAGCTAGCTACCTAACGTTAACATGCTGGGTGTGTCTCACGTAATACCCTTGGGGTACGGACACCCTGAGAACAAGGTTCAGGGAAGATAACACCATCGAGCCCAGCTAACTTTAGCTAGCTAGTAGCGACCATAGCATATTTGCCAGCTTTAGGTAGCTAGCTAGCTAGTCAAGTTTAGAAAACTAAATAGTTAAGAGTGCTAGCTAATCCCCCCCAGAAAATCAACAGATTGCATGTAGATAGTAACTAGCTAGAAAGCTAGCCTAGTTGGTAGGCCCAACAACAACGTCAGCTAAAGCTTGCTAGCTCGCTACAGTTAGCTAGCTAGCCAACACTAGGCTTGCTAGCTCGCTACAGTTAGCTAGCTAGCCAACACTAGGCTAGCTAGCTAGAAAATGCTAGCTAACTGCCTATGCTAAATCATCCAGCAGCATTCATGTATCCAAAAAAGGATAACACATTTCATGAAAACGTACTTTCTCTCTCCGGTGTTGATGTTTTTGACCTACAACACTTTGTTTCTTTCGCGGCAATCTTTCATGTCTGGATTTTGCACACTGACCTTCTCGATCACGTTCTTTGTGCACTGTTACATGATGTCAGTGTCAACACGGGTGTTGGGCAGATGGGCAGATCTTGACATGATGCCTTAATTCCTGGGATAAATAAATAATTGCCATCCCATCCAAAAGTGAGAATGTTCCTCAACAGTGAAACCCTTGCAAGGTTTCATGATGGAATAAGAGTTTTTCTTATGACCATTTTAAGTGCATTTATAAACCATTATTCAACCAAGATTAATAGGCTTACAATATGGCAAACACAAATTACTTTCTCAATTTTAACCATAAGTGTTTATTAATGAGTCTAAAAAATTGTAATTGATGGTTAAAGTAATTGATCCATTGTCAAATGCACAGTTAGGCCTAAATGATATAACCATTTAAAGTTTTGTTTTTATGTGAGCAGTTTGTGAAGCCGTTTTTTTGCCATTCGGCCTGGGCATCAGACTCCAGATCTTTATTGCAGAGTTGTGTCAATGAGATATAATTACATTGTAATAAGGACCCCTTAAAATGAAGTGTTAACAAACCATATTTGAGTGAATTTTACAGGAGGCTTCTAATTATAGTTAATAACAGTATTTTTCATAATTCTACCCATAATGCAGTGCAATCTACGTGTAACACATTTCCTTTTACTGTACATTCTACAGTGTTTACTGTTGAAATTACAGAAAAGTCTTACAGTGTAGAATTGCACTAAATTAGCTTTTAGAACTTACATTTTTCTCTCAGCAGTCAACAGAGGGGGCACTAAAATGTTTTGCCACGAGGTGGGGTGCCCCAAAAGGCTAGAGCCGGCCCTGAGCGCCAAGGTAGAGGCGGTCATAACCCCGATAATAAATTCAAGATGAGGACAGAGTGGCGAGCTGCACCTGCATAGCCGGCCCGGCACAGCCCTTTGACGGCTTCACCACATGTTGGGAGGGAGGCCTGTGTGCATGCTCTGGGAACTGCCGGTCTCAACAATTGAAAACTGGTTAACAAGTTAAGTTATCAAATCAAATCAAATTTTATTGGTCATATACGCGTATTTAGCAGATGCTATTGCGGCTGTATCGAAATGATTATACACCGCAGTCAAAACACACTCTGCCAGCTAAAGGGTTACATTGGAATCAGCCTAATTAGCAAGCTAGGCCATGGTCACTTCATATCAGATTCTTATCCTCACGTCTTATGTAGGCCTAGGCCTAATGTTAACTCTTTTCCAAAACACACTCCTCATTTAAATCATTATGAAATACATGTTGTGTTTTGCATTTTTTTCATAAAAGACAAAATAATGGCAAACGAATATTTCCCATCAGCTCTTTCAGATAAATTATTTAAGCAAATTTGCACCGTTTTCATTAATCAGATAATGTTTTATACATAAAGCCAAAGAACTGCTATAACCCGAAGAACAATTTCATCTTATTATCATCCAGATGGTACAAATGATTTCATCATGTTTTTTGTTGTTTAATTATTTTTGCAACATTTTAGATAACGCACAAAAGGGAATAGACTTATACAATGCAATTCCTTATATGCCTGGATGGGTTCTGTATCATCTGATATTTTTCAAAGGAACCTCATTGTGGAAAAGATTTATAAAATAAAAGTGTCTTGCATATGGCCGTAGTCCTACTGTGGACCGACTCAACGTGTTCTAAACGCTGCCATGTATTTCAATAACCCCCTATTTTAAGGAGCAACATGTTTGTTTCCTTTACTTTTTGTATTCATGGTGACACCAAATTGAAGGAAACAGCTTCAACAACTGTCTATATGGTCTCTTAACATAAAATCGCAATTAGTCAAATGTATTGGTCTACAACAGAAGCGTCTGAAACACACGTAAAATCGATCTCGGAGTGAGTCTTCTCTCCCGTGGTTAAGACAAACAGAAGGTCTCCTTTAGCCCGGTCAACATTGTTCCTGTTGTCCGGAGTCACTTTACTCTGCACCGCTCAACAACAAGGGGATAAGCTCTACATTCCTAGGATGTCACATTTAAATCGCACATATTGAAACACCAGCCTGTTGATCTATAGCTGACATTGTGAAGATTTCTCCTCACGTCGCTGTACGTTTATCAGAACAAACTCCCCGGTCTGTCAGCCTGTCGGTCGGGGCAGGCAGGCAGTGAGAGGTCTGTCAGCCTGTCGGTCGGGGCAGGCAGGCAGTGAGAGGTCTGTCAGTCTGTCGGTCGGGGCAGGCAGGCAGTGAGAGTCGGTCGGGGCAGGCAGGCAGTGAGAGTCGGTCGGGGCAGGCAGGCAGTGAGAGTCGGTCGGGGCAGGCAGGCAGTGAGAGGTCTGTCGGTCGGGGCAGGCAGGCAGTGAGAGTCGGTCGGGGCAGGCAGGCAGTGAGAGTTGTGTTTTGTGTTCTCTAGTCCCGCATGCTGACACTGTGTTTTCACAGACGCGTTTGTTGTGTCAACTTTCTAATCAGCCCAATCTGCACTCCTTCACTTTGTCTCACTAACTCCAGCTGGCTACCGGCTCCAACTCCAGCTGGCTACCGGCTCCAACTCCAGCTAGGCTACCGGCTAACTTCCCAGGCTATAGGCACCTCAATAGCAGCTGTAGCAGGCCTGTCTGCGCTTTAATCAAACATGTTAGGCCGGTAAGATATAAAATGATATGAGAAACCAAGATGTATCATCTAAAATAAATGAGGCCTACTGCAAGACAACAAGTACATTCCATCCTGGTACAAAATGCCATCTATAGGATATTTTAGTCATATTTTGAAGCTGATTATAATATTGTTGAGTATTATTTGAGTAATATTTTTTAACTAATTAGATCTTTAAAGCCACCTGGACATTCTCAATATGTTGTTATCGAAATTTGAATATAAATGAAAATAGGTTTTTTGTATTTACGTGCAAATTTGAATAGCATTATTAGAGGCCCAAACAAATACACAACATAAAACAACACATGGAAAAAAAATGCATATTACAGACGATAGTCAACTAAAAGCCCAACACCTAAAAATACTATAGGCCTATTATTGTATGAAAGCCTAAATGCCGTTGACTAATTTAGAATTGAATATGGCCTAATTGGGATTTCTCCCCCCCAAAAAATCAATAATAGTTAATCAAATGCAAACGAAACTAACATCTATACAAGTTGTATTTTCTATGTCAGGCAAAGTTCTTCCCATACATGAATTGATCGTGCTTCTTACCATATAATGAGTCCTAGACTACAGTATAGGCCATCATTCATCAAGCCATCTATATCTATCTCTCTCTGCTCCCCAATATGTTGATGAACCATTTCCTCGTTCTGTTTAGATTGGAACTCCACTCCGTTACAAACGTTTCCATTGAGAAAGAAGCCGTCGGGAACAGCCAATAGGTTCGTTGGGTTGAAAACGAGCCAATCACGATTAAATCCGCGCGCACACAAATCCTTCATAGGGGTGGCGCTCCAGCTCGAGCCCAGGAGAAAACCGTGGAGCGCACCGGAGTGACGGACCGCTTCAGGACAACGGCTGTGTTTGGCACCGTGGGACATCTCTGTTCGATGCTACATTGAGCAGTAATTAAGCAGCAGATTATCAGCGGTGTCTGTCAGTGCTGTTATACAGACACCTTCATCAGTTCAGAGCTCACTGACTAGTGACAAACTACAATAAGGAGTGGATGGATGTTGCTGTTCTGGAGGAGCCTGCATTGAGGTAAGTCAAAAGCTTTTACTCATTTATGGAACTAGTTTTCGACACATCATAGATTGGAGGGAAAACACGTTATTGTAATTTTCTGTTTATTACTCATTTATATATTTATTGGCCATTTATTAAACTAGCATCAATGAAGACGCTGGCACGGTATGGAACATCATTCCATAGGGCTTTTAGAGGATATGATGACGGATAAAATGTGATCATTATTTTAATTTCAGATTTTACTGACCGCAGTGAGGCAACCGTCGCGTGAGCCAGAACTGGGAAAGAGGACATTGGGTACGAGGCACCGGGAGACAGGCAGCAGATATGATGACGGATATCTCCGGTCCGGAGTTTGAGATCGACGTGGAGAGTCTGGAGACCGAGAGCGACGACCAGGACCAGCCGCACTACAGCTCCTCTCTGCCCGGCGCAGCGTACGACGAGCCGGGGGCCAAGGAAGATGACAAGCCACCGGGGACCACCAGCCCCGGGTCCGGTGAACCGAGGAAGCTGAGCCGGACGCCGAAGTGTGCCCGCTGCAGGAACCACGGCGTGGTGTCGTGTCTGAAGGGGCATAAACGGTTCTGCCGCTGGAGGGACTGCCAGTGTGCCAACTGTCTGCTGGTGGTGGAGAGACAGCGGGTCATGGCGGCTCAGGTGGCACTACGGAGACAACAAGCTACAGAGGTGTGTGTGGATCTCTCTAAAGTCTTATACATTACTATTATAAGGTGTATGTGTGTGTGTGTGTTTTCGATTATTCGAGAGGGTGTAAAACTCGTTAGATTCACCAGCATTTTTGGGGGTAACAATGTTCCCAAAACTGTAGATCTCGAATTTTACATTGTAAAAAGCATTGTAAAAAGCATTGTAATTTATTTTATTTTTTTACCAGCCAAATTTGACATGTTCCTTAGTTTGTCTGTTTGGCATTGAAATGATATGGACTGAGAGAGAATTAGCACATTGATCAAGTTTAGTTTTAGTTTATAAAATTTATTTTATTTATTTTCACACAAATCAAAGTAACCTGTGGGGATGATAAACTCAGAATGGGCAAAAACAAGAAACCTTCCCATCATCTAAACCTTCCCATCATCTAAACTGTAAATTCAAGTCCCTAAAAATACATATTGGTATCACTTATCAAATATTTTCAAATCCTTGAGACTGGTTTTAAATAATAATACATAAACACCATAATATGGCCTCTGAAATCATGATTCTCATTAATTTATTTGTTCTGTAATTTTATCAGGATAAAAAGGGAATTTGTGGGAAGCAGATTCCAGCGGAGAGAAGAGCTATCTACCAGAGAAACATCAGACCATCAACCATGCTGGCTAAGAGCATTCTGGAAGGTAAGGAGGTTCTATCCTATCATATCCTATCCTACCCTACCCTATCCTATCCTATCCTATCATATCCTACCCTACCCTACCCTATCATATCCTATCCTATCCTATCCTACCCTACCCTATCATATCCTATCCTATCCTACCCTATCCTACCCTATCATATCCTACCCTACCCTACCCTACCCTATCATATCCTACCCTACCCTACCCTATCATATCCTATCCTACCCTACCCTATCATATCCTATCCTACCCTACCCTACCCTAACCTATTCTTAGGTAAGGCAGTTTGTCCTGTTTACTAGTACTGGTGTTACTGAATAGCCTACTTATCATCTTGTCTTCACTATCATAATGATGTTGCTTCATCTTTCTCTCATCTTCTCTTCTCTTTATTTCTTGTAGCGTTTCTTGGATTTCTGTCCCTTTCTGTTTCAATCAAACCTCTTCCGCATTGCTCTGTGGACAGTTTAACTTCCGTAAGCACAGACCTGTTATAACATCTATATTTTATTGCTTTCAGATAAAACCTAGTGGGCACAATAAAATCGTATATAAAAAACAAAACAATGTTTTAGTCTTAAGAGCAAAATGAATACTTACTAGTATACTAGTGTACTTCAACCGAGCGCCGGACATATGAAAGGACATCTGTTCAATGTCTAAACTGTTGATAATAGAACTAACTCCAGAATGGAACCTTGATATCATTTCATTCACTGCAATTAAAACATCTACTATACTTTACTAGTTACTTCATAACTGAACCAGAACATCAAGTCTTGCCCAGAATTAAATAGAATAGCATATTATATAGCATTATATTAGTACTATATAGTATTATATTAGTAATATATAGTATTATATAGTATCTCTATGTTGTCTAACCTTTGCCCCTGTCCTGTCTCCTCTCAGGGTACCGTCCGGTGCAGGGTGACCCGTACCTGGGGGCCAGCCCCCCCCTCCCGCCCCCCCTCAGCGACAGGATGAGGAAGAGGAGAGCGTTTGCTGACAAAGAGCTGGAGAGTGTCATGCTGGAGAGAGAGTACAAGGAGAGAGAGATGCTAGAACCCCCTCAGGCTGCCACAGCCTCTCTGCTCTTCCCCAACAGTCTGGTCCGCCATGCTGCAGAGTACAAGTCCTACAAGACAGCCCCGGAGGAGCCTCACCACTTCCTGTCGCCCAGCTGTGTGGACCTCTCCCTGCAGTACGCCGCCGGCCCCGGCAACATGGAGCTCATCTCTTCCAATGTCTCCGTGGCGACCACCTACCGCCAGTACCCTCTGACCTCTCCGCGGGGGTTCATGGTGTGGCCGCGTGGCCCCTCCCTCCTGTACCAGCAGTGCCTGCTCAATGCCACGGCCGTCCAGAACATGAAGCCAGGTGCAGCCTGGGAGCCCAGGATGATGGGCGCCGCTGCAGAGAGCCTGCCGCCCGACCACGACGCCATGGCAACCACCACCACCACCTCGCCCGCCAAGCTGAAGGGTTCGAGGTTCGCAGCGGGCCTCCTCGAGGGTTCTGACCCCCAGCTGCAGGACGGCCCTGCACAGTCCCAGGCCCTTCTCACCCAGGGGGGGCACCACAAACGATCAGCCTTCTCCCCCCCAAAGAGAAGCTTTGGACAGGCCTTCCCCCCTAGTACACCTCACCCCCAGCCTCACCCTAACCCCCCCAGCTATGAACATGTCCTGAACAAGCTGAGCAAGGGCAATGCCATGAAGCTCAACTCCTTCCACTCACTCATCCAGCAGACACTGAGTGAGAAGGCTAGGGCTGAGGTAGGAGCTGGGGCTGGGGAGAGAGCTGGGACCGGGGCCGGGGTCGAGCTCCGGGGCCCCTACTGTAAAGAACTGCTGGAGGAAGCAGCCAGAAAGTACCGTGAAGGACCTTCTAAGGACTTCTACAGTTTCAAAGGCTCTGATAGATACAGCAAGGAGTTCCTGTCTAAGTCAGCCGGGGCCAAGATCGTGTCCAGCGAGTCTCTGTCCTTCTCTGTCGAGGCCATTCTGAAGAGACCGTCACCTGCTATGAACAGAGCTTCACAGTAACAACAGTCATATCTATCTGATGAACAGGGATTAATAACCTACCTGGGAATTTGTAATACCCTGGCCCATTTTTCTGCTTTGAGGTCTCCATTATCGGCTAAATAATGACCATTTTGCACAAACCTCGAATTTAGACCCACTGGTCTACAGATGGACCAACCATTAGCCCTGTGGACCAACCATTAGCCCTGTGGACCAACCATTAGCCCTATGGACCAACCATTAGCCCTATGGACAGTCCGTTTCTCTCACACACACTGTGCTTGCTGTAGTAATGCCTCTCAGTACAGAAACATTTAAACCAGTAATGTAAATGTTTATATGGATATTATATTTTATATGAGCATAAATGTAACTCTCTTTATGGTGTAGAGTATTTAAATGTATCACTTTAAAATGTTGCCATGTAATGTGTCAATAAACTTCATAAAGAGTCAAGAGTGGTATCAGGCCTGGTTTGTTATTATATAGTGTGGTAACATTACATTTGATTTCAATTAACACTATTGAGTTAGCACTTAACACTAATTTGATTTATTAACACTATTGTTACATTAAATTGCGTATGTATTATGATTTTCAAAAATAATTGTTATGGCCTTAAAGTGTGAACAGTCACAAGAGAGGAACGTAAAATAATGTATGAGTATGTTGAGGTTTTCTAATGAACAGAAAACAACTGGTCTACTGTACAACCCAAGAATTTCTGCACAAATTGTTTGGCGTCGTAACCATCTTCAGTGGGCAAATGCTCACCTTCGATGGCCACTGGCACACTGGAGAAGTGTGCTCTTTACGGATGAATCCCGATTTCAACTGTACCTGGCAGTATGGCGTTGTGTGTGCGAGCGGTTTGCTCACGTCAATGTTGTGAACAGAGTGCCCCACGGTGGCGGTGGGGTTATGGTATGGGCAGGCATTAGCTAAGGACAACAAACACAATTGCATTTTATCGATGGCAATTTGAAATCACAGAGATACCGTGACGAGATCCTGAGGCCCATTGTCGTGCCATTCATCCGTCACCATCACCTCATGTTTCAGCATGATAATGCACGGCCCCATGTCGCAAGGATATGTACACAATTCCTGGAAGCTGAAAATGTCCCAGTTCTTCCATGGCCTGCATACTCACCAGACATGTCACCCATTGAGCATGTTTGGGATGCTCTGGATCGACGTGTACGACAGCGTGTTCCAGTTCACGCCAATATCTAGCAACTTCGCACAGCCATTGAAGAGGAGTGGGACAACATTCTACAGGCCAGAATCAAAAGCCTGATCAACTCTATGTGAAGGAGATTAGTCGCGCTGCATGAGGCAAATGGTGGTCACACTAGATACTGACTGGTTTTCTGATCCACGCCCATACTTTTTTATTAAAGGTATCTGTGACCAACAGATGCATATCTGTATTCCCAGTCATGTGAAATCCATAGATTAGGGCCTAATTCATTCATTTCAATTGACTGATTTCCTTATATGAACTGTAACTCAGTTAAATCTTTTAAATTGTTACATGTTGCGTTTATATTTTTGTTCAGTGTAAATGTTTGATGATTTCATTGTTTGTGTTTATTTTGTAAAGCGTATCATACTTTTTATTATCTGTTTTTTTAATAAGGAACTTTATACTGTGAAAACTGTGTGAGGGGTTAAAATCCCATTTGTCAACCAGCCTTTTTAGCTTGGCCTTTAATCAATCACACCTTTGATAACATTTGATCTCTTTAATTGCCGTGCTTGTTTTTTTCATTGTAACGTCAGCAAGCAAGTACAGGGAGTGAATTTAATCATAAATAAAACAAAACAAGAAACACAAACAGTAGCGTCCAGACATGAACCACAGGAACAGAATCAATAACGCCTGGGGAAGGAACCAAAGGGAGTGACTGATCTAGGGGAGGTCATCAGGAAGGTGATGGAGCCCAGGTGAGTCTCATAATACCGTGCAGGTGCGCGTAACGATGGTGGCAGGTGTGCGTACTGAACAGTCAACTGGCGACCTCGAACGGGAGTAGACGTGACATTCATTTTATTGTTTTAAGTGTGTTGCTATTTTAAATGCACTTCAAATAAAGTTTGAATTGACGTTTGATTTCATTGATGATTGTATGAATATCGACTCCATTAACTTTATAGTCTATCAATCTTATTAATTAAGATGTTTTTAAAATGTATGAACTAGGTTATAGGCCTACTAAATAAATGTTTAGAGTAGGGGCGGCAGGTAGCTTAGTGGTTAAGAGCGTTGTGCCAGTAACCGAAAGGTCGCTGGTTCTAATCCCAGAGCCGACTAGGTGAAAAATCTGTCGATGTGCCCTTGAGCAAGGCACTTAACCCTAATTGCTCCTGTAAGTCGCTCTGGATAAGAGCGTCTGCTAAATGACTTTAAAAAATAAAATTAAAAAAATGCCTGCTGAGCTGAACTGGGGTGTGATATCAGTACAATAGACAAGGTGTTGGGGGCTATTACCTTCCAGAGCTGGGGCTATTACCTTCCAGAGCTGGGGCTATTACCTTCCAGAGCTGGGGCTATTACCTTCCAGAGCCGGGGCTATTACCTTCCAGAGCCGGGGCTATTACCTTCCAGAGCTGGGGCTATTACCTTCCAGAGCTGGGGCTATTACCTTCCAGAGCTGGGGCTATTACCTTCCAGAGCCGACTAATAAAGACGGGTCTGTTTTTATTCAGACTTCTCAATACTGAGCTTCTAATTCTTATCATTGGAGATATTCTGACTTACATGTAGACACTGGGAAACAGGCCATTTTACGCTGTGTAAGAGACACTAGATAGAAGGTGAAGAAGTGACTTGATAAGACTAGTAACACACAGCACTGCAGAACAGAGAGGGGGGATGTTAGTTTGGTTAAAGTAGGGTGGCAGTGGTGATTGGCAGTGGCTAGACAATCTGGACCCTTTCTTTCTAAAACTAGCCGCCGAAATTGTCGCAACCCCTATTACTAGTCTGTTCAACCTCTCTTTCATAACGTCTGAGATCCCCAGAGATTGGAAAGCTGCCGCGGTCATCCCCCTCTTCAAAGGGGGTGACACTCTAGATCCAAACTGCTACAGACCTATATCCATCCTGCCCTGCCTTTCGAAAGTATTTGAAAGCCAAGTTAACAAACAGATCACCGACCATTTCGAATACCACCGTACCTTCTCCGCTATGCAATCCGGTTTCCGAGCTGGTCATGGGTGCACTTCAGCCACGCTCAAGGTCCTAAACGATATTATAACCGCGATTGATAATAGACAGTACTGTGCAGCCGTCTTCATCGACCTGGCCAAGGCTTTCGACTCTGTCAACCACCGCATTCTTATTGGCAGACTAAATAGCCTTGGTTTCTCAAATGACTGCCTCGCCTGGTTCACCAACTACTTCTCAGATAGAGTTCAGTGTGTCAAATCGGAGGGCCTGTTGTCTGGACCTATGGCAGTCTCTATGGGGGTGCCACAGGGTTCAATTCTTGGGCCGACACTTTTCTCAGTGTATATCAATGATGTCGCTCTTGCTGCTGGTGACTCTCAGATCCACCTCTACGCAGACGACACCATTTTGTATACATCTGGCCCTTCATTGGACACTGTGTTAACAAACTCCAAACGAGCTTCAATGCCATACAACACTCCTTCAGTAGCCTCCAACTGCTCTTAAACACTAGTAAAACTAAATGCATGCTTTTCAATCGAACGCTGCTGGCACCCGCCCACCCGACTAGAATCACCACTCTTGACGGGTCTGACCTAGAGTATGTGGACAACTACAAATACCTAGGTGTCTGGTTAGACTGTAAACTCTCCTTCCAGACTCACATAAAGAATCTCCAATCCAAAGTTAAATCTAGAATCGGCTTCCTATTTCGCAACAAAGCCTCCTTCACTCATGCTGCCAAACATACCCTCGTAAAACGGACTATCCTACCGATCCTTGACTTCGGCGATGTCATTTACAAAATAGCCTCCAACACTCTACTTAGCAAATTGGATGTAGTCTATCACAGTGCCATCCGTTTTGTCTCCAAAGCCCCATACGCTACCCACCACTGTGACCTGTATGCTCTTGTTGGCTGGTCCTCACTACATGTTCGTCGTCAAACCCACTGGCTCCAGGCCATCTATAAATCACTGCTAGGCAAATCCCAGCCTTATCTTAGCTCATTGGTCACCATAGCAGCACCCACCCGTAGTCTGCGCTCCAGCAGGTATATCTCACTGGTCATTCCCAAAGCCAACACCTCCTTTGGCCGCCATTCCTTCCAGTTCTCTGCTGCCAATGACTGGAACGAATTTCAAAAATCTCTGAAGCTGGAAACTCTTATCTCCCTCACTAACTTTAAGCATCAGTTGTCAGAGCACCTTACCGATCACTGCACCTGTACACAGCCCATCTGAAATTAGCCCACCCAACTACCTCATCCCTATATTGTTATTTATTTTGCTCTTTTGCACCCCAGTATCTCTATTTGCACATAATCTCTTGCACATCTATCATTCCAGTGTTAATACTAATTGTAATTATTTTGCACTATAGCCTATTTATTGCCTTACCTCCATAACTTGCTACATTTGCACACACTGTATATATATTTTCTGTTGTATTTTTGACTTTATGTTTTTTACCCCATATGTAACTCTGTGTTGTTTTTATCGCACTGCTTTACTTTATCTTGGCCAGGTCGCAGTTGTAAATGAGAACTTGTTCTCAACTGGCTTACCTGGTTAAATAAAGGTTAAATAAATAAATAAAAAATAAAATAAAATAAAAAATAAGGAGAGTGAGGACAGGTGTGGAGGCTGATTAGCGATGAGTTGCAACTGATGCTTGTTGAGGAGCAGCGTTCAAGGCAACTAGTTAAAGTGTTGCATTCAAGTCTGGTCCTCTCTCTCGTAAATTGTAGTTAATTCTTAACACCATTTCACGAGTTTAAGGACCAGACATTGAAATGGGTTTTGAATATTTCTTGAGAAAATGGAATAGATGTGAGAATGAG